AGGATTCAAAGCCCCTTTCTTCCTCGCCTTTGTTCCTGTGAATCTTGCTCTCCTGCCTTCTGTGAATCTTGCTTTAAATTGTAATTTCCCCCCCCCTTGCTGTTTTACAGGAGGGCTTTGTTATTGTTGTTCCTGCATTTTTAAACTTTTCTCCTTCCAACTTTGAGATCCGCCAAACTTCATAGATTTCTAGTTTACCTCTCAACCAAAATAATTCCTGGGGTTCTGCATGTTTTCGTATAAATCTCAATGAAATCACAGGAGCTTTAAAGCCTTCCCCCTCCCCTGACTGACCTGCAGATAATCCCTTTACAAATAACAAGCGCTTTCTGTGGAACACGAATTTCGCAGGAATTTTGGAGGGCGCAGGTGGCTGAGCTGGGGCAAGGCTTGTGGTGGAGGAGGAGGCTGGAGCGGTGTCCCAGGACCGGCTGGGCGGGAGCGCTGCCGGGATGCGGGAGCGGTGCCTCCTTAGTGAGATATATGGCTTCATAATTAGCCCCTTGCATTTTTTCCGAGTGCTGGCATCAGCGTTCTATGATGTGTTTCCCTGATTAACAGCTGCTTTGCAACTATTTCCGTGTGCCACCGATAACCATATTTGTCAAGTTAGTCCTGGCAGGGCACTGATTTCTTACTAAAATGCCGCGTTTCTGTTGGAAGGGGTTTTCTCGTTCACCGCCGTGCCAGGCTTTTAAGTCAGCCCTTGTTAAAACGTAAGTTGGCTTTAGCCTGATGCTTGTTAACAGGATTCTGGGTATCTCCTTTGGAGTAGGAGTGCAGAAACCTTTCACAGACAATTTAATCTTCCGAGCCTTGCAAACATACAGCCGTACACTGAGGGGGTGTTGCTGCAGGCTAATATATTGATCAGTTCCATTTGCCCTATAGCCGTGGCCTTCTGCTCTGGCTGAAATAGGTTGAGTGTTTGTTGATACTGCCATATTATTATTTTTTAATACACTGGAAAAAAATTAATTCCAACTTCTTTTACATACGTCATGTATATTGCCAGTGTTGATTGCTTCCGCACATGTAATGTAAACTGTCTGTGCATAGTTCATGGCCTGGGCCGCCTCTGCTTAATGAAAAGAAGTGTTGCATTTAAACAGATACAGATCCACTCAGAAAGACAAAATACCATCCCTTGCAACGTATAATTCAGACCCAACCTTTACATCACAGGTCATCTCAAAGTCTCAGTCTATCAACAAATGCTGTTTAGTAATAACCTACAGAGGGTTCCCAGTATTAGGAAATCTATTAGAGCTCTTACGGGCTGCACTCCTGGTGGCTTTGGAGTCTGTTTTCCACGTGGAACTCTCTCAGCAAACCCTCTGGAACTTTTGTTGATAAAGATGATTTTCTTTTACATTTCTGGTAATTGATTGGGTTTGGTTGTTTGGTTTCTGTCTGATGATTTTCTTTTACATTTCTGGTAATTGATTGGGTTTGGTTGTTTGGTTTTTGTTTGTTGGCTTTTTTTTTTCTTTCTTTGAGATGGTAGAAAATAGGCATTTGCCACAGTATTTTAAATTTCATGGTTTATTTTTCTAATGCTAATAACTGATAAAGTCATTTAGATTGCTTTATTGGAAACCCTGCAGCTTTGAGCACAATAAGAAATAAGGCTGTCTTTATCTTCCCCATTAACACAAAAGGGAGGGAAATTAGGAGTGGGGGACCTTGGCTGTAACGTCCAAGTGCTGTGCTTTGGCCCAGAATTTTGCCAGCCTGCTGCACTCCCACAACACCTGCAATAAAGTTCCTGTCTCTGTTTTATATCTTTGACATTGAAGCAGAATATTTGGCCTGAATTTATGTAATTTGGCCAGTTGCAAATATAATCTGTGAATAGTGACATTCATCTTTTAACTGGAAAACCAAACCGCAGGACAAGACCTGCTGCAGGATTGCACCCGTCTCCACTCAGTCAGGAAGATGTCTTTGTGGATCCTGTCACTGCAGGACAGGTGGTGGTGGGAAAGCAAGTTTATGGAGTTGACTGGCTTTTAAAAGCCAAATACACCGTCTTTCTTTAACAGAAATATGTACCTGACCCACCAGACACAGCCAGTGTGCTGGGTGGTGCGTGCTGGCAATCCGAGCAGTGATACAATGCTCGTTATTTGGCAGTGTCCTAATACCATAAAAATGTGGAGAAGTGTTACAAATGCTACAGAAATAGTATGGAACAATGTTAGCAGCTGAGTCAGAGTGCTATTTGCCGCATGATTTTTTTGGCTATACGCAGGGCTGCGAGTCTTCTCATCTTCCTCCTCCTTTTTCTGTTGTTTAAATTATGGACTGCAGTTGCCCTTGTTTGTGCAAAGAAAATGATCCATAGAAGGTAGGGAAGTTCTTGTGTGTGTTTGTTGAAAATATTGGCATTTTGACATGGCCAAAATTGCTCTGTAAGTTGCTTGTGTATACAAGATGGATTATAAAAATGAAGATGTTTCAGCTCAGCCTATAGGAGGAATGTTCAGAGGCAAATGCAAACACAAATATGAGAAACATGGGATTACTGGGAGGAGGAATACATGTCCAGCATTCTTTTTTATGGAGTTTGTTGTTGCTTGTAATTTTATTTTGTTTTAAGATGAAAAAGGTTGTGAATAATGGAGGAAGTGGTGCAGGGGAGAGATAAAATAGAAGTTTATTTTGGAGCGAAATTTACTACTGAAATGTTTACATTTTTACAGGGCCAAAATAAGTTTTAATAAAGGGCCAGAATCAGTGAAGTGTTCCCGTGGTTGTGATTGAAACAGCACAATGAGAACTACTGCTTGTTTCTTACAGTGGTGGGGTTTTTTTGTTGTGTTTTTTTTTTTTTTAATGCTTAAAAATTGATAATTAAACATAAGAGCTTGCAAAAGTGCAGGCCTGCAGCGTCTCTGGCTGGCTCAGCGAGGGGGGAGCGTTGAGGGGTTTCTGAAGACACAAGTTATGGCTGTTAGGAGGGAAGTGGTGTTGATGTGTTCACATGTCTGCCTGGCTGCTCGTTTGGGCATCTTTCTTATTCAGCATATTATGGTAAGGTTATTGGTTCGGGCGCTTTGCATTCGTGCATCTGGCACAGCAGGATCAGCGCGGTTTAAACCTGGGATTTGCCTGTCACCTGCGTTTCAGCTGCAGGCAGATCAAGTGCACGTAAATGAAGCCCAAGTGGGCTTTATGTGGGGTGTTTTGCCCTGGTGTTTTATGGCTCAGAATTGCCACACGTGAACTTAAGGGGAAAAAAAAAAAAACAAAAAACGCAGGAAAACAAGAAAAGGGAAAAGAATTAAAAAGACCCCGTTCATTTCCTCCTCCCAACTTGGAAGTGTGCTGGGACTTTGTCAAATTCCCGTTAAAATAAATCTGTCAATTTCATCTCTCTCCCAAATTCATTTATCCTGCTTTTTTAAAAGGTGTTTTCTGCTTTACCTGATGTTGAAATTGGATTGGCTCGTTTATGCTGTTCTTTGCTGTATCCCCCATGTTTTTCTTAAATGAATTAGTAATGACAGCGTACTCCATCATACCCTCTCTACAGCCACTTTAAGGGAAGCCTGGTGATCTAAACCTTTTAACCTATTAAAGATGATTTTCCCCAATTGAATCAGACCCACCACAGGTGTAATAACTAATCATTTAAACTACACCTGCTATTATGTATTTTTAAGCCATTATGCATGTTGGATAGATGATAATTCATGTTTATTGCATTGTCCAATGGATCCGTTTTGCCTACACTAGCCTGATTAATGTATTTAAAGAAATAAGAGATGCAATTTAAAAGAAAAAAAACATTGATGGAATGCACTGAGGAGTACATTGAAAGTGCCATTAAACCCATCAGAACTTTGCTCTCTGACCAGAAATGCATATTCGAAGCGTTTGATTCCAACACAAAGTGAAACTTGGTGATTCCAGGAGTGATGCTGTATTTTCCTTTCTTCTGCTGCTGTGGAAGTTTTGAAAACCTTTTTGGAACTGAATTCCAGAAACTATGTTTTAAGGTAAACTCTCCAAGACCTTCCTGATGCAGGTCTAGCATATTAGGATGGTTATTTTCAGCTCCAGAGGAGGGAAGTAAAGCCTTCCGCTAGTTCACATGGACGTGTCCATCACCTGAGTGAGTGCTGCTAACACATTATTCCTCCCGATACCACCATTGGAACAGATGTCTTTGTGTAAAAGTGGAATGAATCACTGGTGCAGCAACATGTAATAGGGTGTGTAACAGTACAGCAGAGTGTGTGGAAAGTGGAGAAAAAAAAACAAATACCTTTCACTGGCACTAAGTGGAAATGTAAAACTCCAGTGCCCTTGTTGATGATGCCACTGAGTATCTCCCCACACTTTACCCTTTGTTTGACTGAGTGCTCTGTTTCAGGTTCTCTGTCACCTTAAAGAAGGATGTGTAGAAGGCTGTCTGTAGACAAAAGTAGCCTGTGGGTTTTGCTGGTGTGGAACTTTGATTACTCATCTACCCATTTCTGTCACTAAAAGTGACCTTTTTTTGATATTTTTGTTACGGGATCCAAAAGATGTGAAGTTGCTTCTTTTCAAGATGAGGTTTGTTTATTGCTTTCAGTAAATTAGAATGATGGCAGAAAAGGCCTTAATCTCTTAGAATTTCCAGGGAGCTTTGTCAGATAGAAAGGCAGCATTCTTACAGTAAGCCAGCTGTTACTACTTCTCATGCATTGACTCAGGGTTACCCTTAACTGTAGGAGCCCACCTAGGTAAGAAGATCACAATATAAATGACAGAAAGCCCTGAGAATCTCAGTGGAGTTTTTAGTGCAGGTTGAGCTGCTCCAAGAGTCACTCAACAAGAACTCGTAGGTTGGGACACCATAATTGTGCTGTGTGATTAGATTTGAGCCGCGTGGTGGAGATGCCTTGCCTTGCAGCACAGAATGCATAATGTGTAACAGGGGTTTGACCATTCCTAACTTGGGTCTTTTATCTCTCCTCTCTCTCTCTCTCCAATCCTCCCACCCTCCTCAGATTGTGACAGCAGTGAAGTTTTTACAGAATCCACGGGTCCGCCAAAGTCCTCTTGCAACCAGAAGAGCATTCCTGAAGAAGAAAGGTATGGACTCTTATTAAAAAGTTTGTGATCTCAGTGGTAGTGACGGACCTTGAGTAAGTGTAAAGCCAAAATGTATTGCTGTTGAAAATTAGATGTTAAGGACAAAGCAAGTGATCTGCCTCAAAAGGAGATTTGAAGTTTTTAAGAAGTATCAGTCTCTTCCCAAGTGATTAGAGCAATATTGGCACCAGATGTGGAATTGTGGAATACAAAAGACACATGGGAAGTTTTTGGGTTAACTGTTATCATCATATCTTCTCTGCAATGAGGACAGTTCAGAGCTGTGGACTGGTTGGTCAGCTTTAGCCTCACTGGCACTGGCCAACTTCTGGGTGAAAAGGTCAAACGTTTCTGAAGAGAGAGAGAACAGTGAAGGGCAAAGGACTCGGTGAAAGTAAACAAGGTCAGGTTAAGGTCAAGCTTGGGGTCACCCTGACTTTGAGGCTGAAATGGTAAACCACTGACTGAGTTTAGCCCTTTTCTATAGCACGGATAGAACAGATCCTGACAAATCCTATATTGTCTTAGACAGATGGAACATACTTCAGCCATTGCCTACTGAGCATTTGTTTTACTTTCTGACTCATAGTGGAACTATCTTTTGTTCCTTTTTTATTTCTAAAGTTTTTATTCCACAACTTGCGGTGCATTTCAGGTGAAGTTCGCTCCATATTTTGCTACCCTCCTGGGACCATATTGCTTAGATCCTTACCACAAGATGTAAATAATAAGGACAATTTTAACTTGGAGTTAATTACAGGCACTGTGGAGCACCTTAAGTGTTGAAATGATACTGAAAATACAAACTCCAGACTTCAGAGGGGAGCGACCCACTTACACATTGAGGTCACAAGTACTTCGGGGTACGTCAAATTCTAGAGCTAAGGATCTTGAGTTTTGAATAGTAGGGAAGCCTGTGAAATATATATTATTCTGTTTGGGGTTATGAACTGTTTACTGAGGTGCCTGAGACCTGATGTCATGAGATGGAAGGTTCAAGGACATGCACCACTTCGCTCATCCTGAGTGGCAAAGGACCTAGGAGGGAGTGGCAGCCTTGTGTTTTGGCAGTGATGTCATGACCAGTAGTTCACATGGCTTGGAGTGTGATCCTCTCCCTGCTTGTCCTCGTGCCGGTTAACGGGACATTTCCAATCGCAGAGGTATGCTGCTTGCGCTGCCCTGCCATCAGGATGACATTAAAATTTGGAGCCTGCTGGTCGCTGTGCTCCGTGGGTTTTTCCTTGAAATATGTGGACCTACGGGGAGTAATTAATCATAAAAGCTTGGGGATTTCAACTCTATCATCGAAGCAATGAAGCAAGGGAAAGCTGAGCCTAAAAGCTGTGCTGATTACCCGGGGTAACCTGATACAAAATCTATTGTTGCCGAGAGATCCTTAGCCCCCAGTATATCGTGCAATATTATAACTGCCTGATCTTCTCCTGTGCTGACAATGACCAGTTATTCCTCATTTTCTCTCTCAACACAGCTGGGTTAGAATTTCATTTGCAGAAGGTATTTAGAGCAATTTAGAGACAAATGTCTCTGGTGTTTGCTCTGCACTTCCCCACCGCAGGCTTTGCTGAACAGTTTTTAGTATCAGGAGCTCCATCTAATCTGTTTAATTTTAATAAATCCCTGACTGGGAGAAGAGGAAGGGTGGGGAGATGGAGGCACAGAGAAACTGTGGCCCGACTAATACTTCTTATGAATTACTTGGCTAATAATTACTAAAGAGCTGAAATGGTTTGGTAGAGCTGTTTGTTTGTTGCTGTTTGTTAATTAGCCCTCCTCCCCTTTGTGCTAATTGTTTGTTTGAAAACTTAACAGTAGGAGATAGGAAGGATCAGGGTCCAGTAGTGCCTGTGCCCAGCAGCCACTGGAGGTGGGTCCATGTGGAATCTGGCCTGTGTTCAGGGTTCCCAGTGGTGTGGCACCTCTGTGCTCTTGCAGATGGAGGCAATTATTGCTGAAACGTGGATGTCGTGCTGGTTTAGTGCCGAGGAGATGAGGGGTTACAGAGTTCAGGGGCCTGCCCCCCTGTTCTCTGATACACGGTCCCTGTCATTCCCAAAGATAAGGGTCATCCCCACTTTAGGCTGGCTGGTAGAGAGGTCCTCACTGCCGGTCAGAAAGGTCCTGCAATCCTGGCTTTGCCGAGGAAATTTCACTTCTGAGACGTGCAGAGATGGGTCTGCCTCGAATTAGAATTTTTCCCTCTTCTTCTATGAATCTCCTTCCAAAAAAAGGCCAATCAAAGCAGGGGGGGTTCCTGGTTCTGTGCAGGTCAGGGGGTGCTCATCTGCTCCCTCTGGCACATGGGGGGATCGTGTTGATGACAGTTGGGAGAGTGAGGGTGTCCTGAATTTGTAAAAGGGCTTTCAAAAGTTGGATGAGATTTCTCTGTTGTCTTAAGCACTTTTAAACTCCCATATACAGAGGCATTAATGAGAAACATGAAGTTATTAGAATCATTTATCATTTTCTTTGAAGCTTACACTGGCATTTTGTGTAATTTATGACATTTCCTCCTTTTTATCATGAACTTCTTCAGATGAAGGGAAAAAACAGCTGTTTCCCCTCAGAGTATCTGAAAGAAAAGAAAGGAAAAAAAGATGCTGTTTGTTTTTTGTCCAACTCGCTGATTCTGCTGATGACATGCCACAGAATCAGCGGCGCCTTGGGAGTAATTAGACAGCATGTGGGGTTTAAACCCTTGTGGAAATGTGTCTGTCATCTCACTGTTGTGCCTCAGATGTCCTGCACTGCTCAGTTACCCATCCAGTAACCCATGTGGCTTGTTCAGTTTGTGTGCCCTCAGTCTGGAGCTTCTGGCAGGGCAGAGTAGGGAGGTGGAAGTGCACCATTCGCGGGGAGCTCTGCTTTCAGGGTGCTGGGTTTTGGGGGCAGAGAAGGGAAAAGCTGCCGGGTTACAGACTGGTGTCATCTTGGATGAAGAACTGTTTTGTGAGTTGCTTGTTCTCTTCATCTGTGAAAGGAGTACAGTAATGCCTTCCCGGACTGGGATTGTGGGAACAGACAAAAGCATATGAGGAGCTCAGAAATAATGGTGATGGGAGAACAGAAGTGCATTAGAGCAGGTTAATGTATAATTGTTGAGTTATGTTGGGAAAACGTCCACCCAGAAGGTTTTCTGCAGTGCATCAGGGTTCCAGAAAATTTTGCCCGTGTCAAGGTGCCAGACTGTGGTGATTTCTGAAGAGAAGAAAAAAGTATTTAATTCCACATGCCCCTTTCCAGTCAGAGCACTGAGACACTCGATTCCCTGGAAACAAATGCTGCCAGCCCCAGAATCTCCAGTAGAAAACTGACTAAATTATCTTCCTCTTTCTGTAGTCTGCATTCTTGGGAGGTGAACCCCCCGTCTTAGAATTCTCCTTTGCCAAAGAAACGCAAGCGGATCACCTTGAGGACCTGAGGGAAGGGGGCACAGCCCACTGCTGGAGGGCTTTAAAGACAGCAAATTCTTCAGCAGATTTCAATTTAACCCTCTTTTATTACTTTTCTTTTTTTTATAATTTCAGTCCATTTCATGAGGCAGTTTGCATGTCCTTGAATGGAATCTCGTTACCATGAAAGCTTTTTTAGCATTGATTTCATAACAGTCTTAATTTAATAGCGCCGTCATTACTGAGAAGCCCTGAGAGTGAGGCCCCAGCTTTCCAGGTCACTGACCTTTTAATTACAAACCTTGTTCTGATGGCCAGGTTATCGACTGGACAGCTCCCAACTCCTGCCCCCAGCATGAAGATGAAAATAACTGCCTTTCCTCCCCCACTTCCAGAAAAGGGAGGAAAAGAAAAGTAACCTCTTGTGTTTCCAAAATTAATTTTCTCCTTCAGCTTTACTTTGTAATTAATTCTTTAACATGTCTCAGTGAAGCTCGAACAGTTTTCACAAAGCTTTTTCTCGAGAAGAAAATACAGTGCAAGCCAATAGAGTCCAGTGCCAACTCAGACAGAAAAATAGAGTTAGTAACCTATGCTGTCAAAATACCCATTGGGGCCAAGCTGCTCCAGCCCTCCAAACCTTCTGCTTTTACAGGGATCGCTGTGTTTGATACACAGCTGTGGGGTGAGGATGTACATGTTGGCTCTTCCAGGAGTGCTGGGGGACTGAGCTGAGCAGGGTTTACACAGAGCTGAGGCCTTTCCTGCTTCTCACAAGAAGCTGGGACAGCTGACCCCAGCTGACCAAAGGGATGTTCCACAGCACCTGTCCACTGCCTTTAACACAAATCCAAAATGTATCCCATAATAGCTACATGAAAAAAAAACCCACTCTATCCCAGCACAACTGCACTGACTGTGTGAGTGAGGCCTGTCCTGGTTCGTACCTGCAGCTCAGGTAACTTGTTCTCTAGCTGTTGACGCAGGGGTTTGCACCCCAGACCACATCTCTTCCTCTTGCAAAGCTGCAAACGAGACCTGGAATCCAGACACTGATAGCAAAAATTTACTGCAAGAAGGTGTTTTAAGCTTTTGGAACAAATTAAGACAGGAGAGAAGGTTCCCCAGCTCAGGCAGGGTGTGCTTTCTGCTTATTAAAGGTATTTGCAGCAGGTGTTCAAGTAGCATAAAGGAAGTGTAACAGTTTGTGTGGACTCACAGAAATGGCTGCAGAGGTTAAAGGGAAGTCAGTGCTTTCTGCATGTTCTTAGTGGTTTTCATGGGAGGGTCTTGGAGCACACTGTACCCATTAACCATGGAAACTCTGCAGCTCCTTGCATGGAGCATGTTTGCTGGTGTTTCCAGGGTTATCTGTCATTATCAGAATCATTCAGTGATTCTGTAATCTGGATCTCACTGTGCTTTCCTCTAAAGAGCATCCACTTCTGAGGTAGAGGACAGCAGCTGCTTAACATCACTACGTGGTTTTTAGGAGAGGAAATGAAGAATACTTTATCTAAGTGATCTTGCAAAGGGAGCTTTAGGGATAGAGAATGTAATTACTGAGTAAAAAATTTACTAAGATTC